GATATTAACTCAACACTCTCTTTTCTTAAATAACTGTTCTAGAAGACATAAACCCAGTGAAACAAAATACTCTTGCTATTAGGTACTGTCACATCAACTGTAACTCATAGTGATCCTATGGAGACAGAGCAAAACCCTCTTGATCTAGCATCAAGCTGATAACTTGTGCTGTACTTATATCCACTATTACAGTCATTCTGTTGATCCATCTTGTTCAGGACCTTCCTCCTTTTTGTTTTTCTTCTACTTTATTTTTTATTAAGCATTATGTTGTGTTCCAGGAGCTGGCCTTTCCCGATAACATGCCCAAAGTTTGTGAGAGCCTCCTAATCCTTGTTTCTAAGGAGCACCATGACTTCAGTTCTTCAAACTCAGATTTGTTTGTTCTTTTGGCGGTCCATAGTATTTTCAATATTCTTGGCCAGTACCACAGTTTGAAGACTGAAACACAGTTATTGTTTCTTTGGTGTTTCTTATTCATTGTCCAGCTTTGGCTTGCATCTGAAACAGGCATTAATTGAAACCAGGTCTCATGTTCTGTAATCAGAAATGCTAAACCTGGAAAGGACAAAAGGAAAAAAAAACCCACAAAACCAAGCAAAAAACAGAGGTTTACAGATTGGACTCTAGTGTTCTAAATTGAGTCACTCCAAAAGTACAAATAATTTAATGCTTTTAGAATTTCACTTCTTTGAGGAGGAATAAAGGGGAAATTAAAGAACTTAATAATAATTGCTATTGTTGAGTTCTGTTGATTCCATTCCAACTCATAATGTAACAGAGTAGAAAGGCCCATAGAATTTTATTCTCTGTAATTTTTGCAAAGCAGTTCTTCAAGTCTTTCCACTTGGAACCAACCATCCAACTAATAACATTTTAGTTAGCAGCCAAGCATTTAGCCAATGTAGTTAAGTACATTGTTGTTATTATGTACTGTAAAGTTGGAATTGACTCCTAACTGACCCTCCAGCACTATTATAGACTCTAAATTTTTCCAAATTACTTTATTCATGACTTTGGAAAAAATCCTCTATATTTTTCTACCTTATTTGTACAATAAAGTTATTAATAACCCAGGCCTCTGGAAACACTATGAACTTTGAGAAACAATAATAGTTAAAAAAAGGCATTAGGTCTTTTGTTCATAGGGTCGCTACGAATCATGCTTAACTAGACAGCAGTCAACAACAACAAGTGATAAGTTTAAGAATGAAATATATTAAATAAATTAATATTAAGTAAATAGATATAGTTACTAGAAGAATGCTTAGCTCTTCATAAATGTCTGATAAAATTAGCTCTTATTGCTGTCATTATAAGTAAAAATAATTAGGCACTGACAGGAATGTGTGTTGTCAGTGATAGTAACACATATTGTCATTTTGAGAAATGTCTTCTGAACCATCAAAAAGTATATTGTGTTTAAATTTCATCAGCTTTTAATCTTAGATGTATCTGACTAAATTTGTCACTTAGACATTAGTGGTAACATAGATTCTTGACATGAATGTTAGGTTAAATTTCTGGCTTGTATACACATAAATTTATCTCTATTGGGCAATGTTTACAGGTAACTTTTATTGCATATGTTCTCATTTAATCTTCATAAGAACTTTATGAAGAGATAAACCATTTTTATCCTCCTTTCAGTAGTGAGTAAACTCTGTAAGATGTTTGCCTTGCTATGGTGACAAGAGAAGAATTTATAGATTTATTGCTCTAGTAATCCAACTTTAATATATTAAGAAGAATTGAAGAAATTAAAACTTCTCACCATGCCTCAGAAATGCAGAGTGAAGAGGGAGAGATGAGACTATATCCTCTGACAGCTGTATACACACCACAAATTGGTGCATTTTGTGGCTGTATTTAGTTTCCTTGTAAAATTAGAAGTTACTCTACTTAATTCTAGTTGTTTACTGCTTTGTACTGCAAGCCTGTTCGCCAGATCTTGAACTGTTGCTTACAGTTAGGTTGTAACTATAGTCAAGTTAATTCTTCATATTATGCCTTGTGCATTCAAACACACTTCTTATTTTGAAGGTCTACATTTTTATTTAAAAAAAAAAAGAAACTTCATTTCAATAAAGAAGAAGTAATGCAAGCTACTCAATTCTTGAAAATTCAAACAGGGCCATTTGACATGTAGAAGGATCATGCTATATAGAGCAAAAATACTTTGACCTTAAATAGAAATTATCAATTAAAGAACGTAAACATGACTATTTCATGAGTACAGGATGATTGTATTAGGTTACCTGATACTCTAGATCTTTAATCAGATTATAAATTTTGTAGAAAAGACCTCTTAGTGAGATTAAATGTTTTGTCCAAGATCATGTAAGAGTTCACAGAAAACTCACACTTCTGCCAGTGACATTTTGTTAACATTCAATCCCTATTTTTTACACTTATAAAGGTATCATATATAGACTATTGTTCTTTTTATGTGTTATCAAGTCACTGAAACTCATAGCAACAACAGCTTTGAACCCTGCCCTATCCTGCGCCAGCCTTATTGTCTTTGACACACCTACCCCCTTAACTCCAGTTACTGAATCAATCCATCTCATCAAGGGGCTGTTTCTTTGGTGTTGTTCCTACACTCTCCCAAGCATGATGTCCCTCTCTAAACACTGATAGCTCCTTGCATCATGTCCAAAATATCTCAAATGAAGCTTCAGAATCCTTGCCTCCAAGGCACAGCCTGGTCTCACCCTCTCTAGAATGAAACTGTTCTTTTAGAAGCCCATGGTATATTCAATACTCTTTTCCAGCACCACACCTCAAAGGCATCAATTGTCCTTCTATTATCCCTAGTCATTGTCCAGCTTTGTGATGCATAGCAAATAATTGTGAAGACCATGGCCTGTATCAGGCACACTTTAGTCTCCCAGCTGACGTTGTTGCTCTCCAGTACTCTGGAAAGGTTCTTGACAGCAGCCTTCTCCAATGCAATTTGTCTTTTGATTTCCTGGCTCATAGTACCAAGAGTGTTGATAGTGGAGCCAAGCAAACTAAAGCTGTTAACAATCTCAATGTCTTTACTCTCTGTTATGATGCTACCAGTTAGTCCAGTGGTGAAATCTTTCTCTTTTTGATGTTGCGCTTCAATTCATATTAAAGTCTGCAGTCCTTGACTTTCTGCAGCAAATACTTCAGATCCTCCTCAGTTTCAGGTTCTGTGATTTCTATAACGTAGATTGTTGATGTGTCTTCCTCTAGTCCCGACACCATATCCCTCCTCATAGAGCCTAGCCTCCTAGATGATCTGTTCTGCATATAGATTGAAAAGATATGGAGAATAGGACACATCCCTGGCACATACCCTTCCCAATTTTAAACCATGAAGTATTTCCTCACTCTGTTCTGATGACTACCTCCTGGTACAAGTGTAGGTTTCACATAAGCACAATCAAGTGTTCTGGGATTCCCATTCTTCTCAAAGTTAGCCAAAATTTGTTGTGATCCACACAGTTGAATGCCTTTTCACAGTCAATGAAATACAGATAGACATTCCTCTGGTGCTTTCTGCTCTCAGCCAAGGTCCATCTAACATTAGTTATAATATCCATACTACCATGGCCTCTTCTAAACCCAGCCTGCATATCTGGCAGTTCTCTGCTGGTATGCTGTTCCAGTCATTTTTGGATAATGTTCAGCAGAATCTTACTTGCATGTGATAGTAATAATATTGTTCGATAATTTCCACACTCTATTGGGCCACCTTTCTTTGGAATGGGAACAAATATATATCTCTTCCAGTCAATTGGCCAGGTGTTTGTCCTCCAGATTTCTTGGCGCAACATAGTGAATTGAACACACATCCAGGGCAGCATCTATTTGTTGAAATATGTCAATTGGTATGCTGTCTATTCCTGGGGCCTTGTTTTTTGCTAATTCTTTCAGAGCAGCTCGAACTTCTTCCTTAATCAGAACAGGCTCTTGCTTATATGTTGTTTCATGAAATTCTTCTGTGTCAGCCAATTCCTTTCGGTACAGTGACTCTGTATACTCATTCCATCTTCTTTTAATGCTTCACTGATCTTCTAATATTCTTCCCAAAGCATCATTAAGTATTGCAACTCAAGGCTTGAATTTGTTTTTCAGTTTCTTTAGCTTAAGAAATGCTGAGCGAGTTCGACATTTTTTATTTTCTGACTGCAGCTCTTTGCACATTTCATTGTAGAGACTACATGCAGTAAATATTTCCTCTCACTGAATTACCTATTTCATATTTGTAAGTTTCTGACAGTATTAGTTAATATACTCCACTAATGAAGATATTACACAGTGGACTTCTGGAACGCTCTGTTATTCTCCATTACTTTGATTAGATTTTGCCACTTTAAGCTAACTTTAGATATGTGAAGAATTCATGTTGATTTTTCTAGTGTATCAGTATTGTGAGGAGAAATGAAAAGTGCAGAAAGGGTGTTACCATAGGGCAAGTTGGTGCCAACTTCATGGCAACTTTGGGATGTCTGAAAAGATATTGATGGACAAATGCTTTTAAAATACGTCATATTGTTGTTATGTGCCATTCAATCAAAACAGACCCATAGCAGTAGGTTTTCAGAGACATCAATTACATGGCCAATAGAGGAAGATTCTCAACTTGGTAACTGGGGTAGTGGGGGTAGGTATGTCAGAGACAATAAGATTGACACAGGATAGAGCAGGGTTTAGGGCTCTCGTACATAGGGCTGCTATGAGTTGCAAGTGACTCAACGGCACATAACAATGACAACAATTACATGGGAGGAGATTACTAATCCTTTTCCTATGGAGTAGCTACTCAATACCTACTTAGCTGATGAATGTGAACCTTGTGCTTTTGATATTGCAGTTCAGCTTCTTACCACTAGACCACCAGAGCTCCCTAAATATGGCGTGGCATATTTATTTCTATCTATTCAATAATTAAAGAAGGGACAGGTAGCCTGAAAGAAAAACTAAGCTGTGGAATTTTGCTATTAATATGCTATGTTATTTTACAGATTTTGAAAAATAGCAATCTTCACCTAAAAAACTTCCAAGTTTATGCATGCAGAGATTTTGGAATTGACATTGTGGAAAGTGATGCAAATACTTCAGTGACTGACAGCTTTTTACTTGGTCATTTTACCCACAAGGTAAGAGTCTTAGTGCGCTGTTTCAGATTGTCTATCACAACAGAATCATATGGGTTGGGCTCCCTGGTGACTCTGGTTATGCAATTTTAATACAGTTCTGCAGCAAATATATTTAATTGACAAAAGTTAGAGGAAATACTTTATTTGTAACAGTAGTATAATGACAAAAAAATTCAAACATGCACATTATTCCAATGTTCTATGCCCACACTAATCACAAAAGGCAGCAGAGTTATGTGCTTACAATGTAGAAGCATCCATAAAAATTTTTAAAAAGCCCTATTATTTCAGTTAAATTTCTCTAATCACACAGGATTATGGAGTAGCATGATGAGTTCTTACAGTGTCTCTGCCATACATAAAAATTTTATCCATGGGAATCTGACTTCGTTTTGAAAGAAAGTTACCAGTAGCCAAATTACTGTCCAGTCAACTCCTTGTTTTCAGAATAAAACTGTCCTCCATAGAGATTTCAGTAGATTATTTTTGTAGAAGAATTTCTCTCTCTTTATACTCAGTACCTCTAGATTAACTCACACGTAGAACTTTTAGCTAGCAAGTGAATGCTTTGACTATTTATATTTCCCAGACTCTTGGAAAAGAAACGTAGAATCTGATAGGAAAATTTACTTACACTTTGCTATGATGTACTACAATTTCTTTATGTAATTCCTTAATATTGCCTAAATATTTATTTCTGTGTTACAAATGTCAGCCTATAAGTGATTCTTTATTCTTTGCATAACTCAAGTACCAGAATATAGACTTCCTAGAGCACTTTCCTGATGACCAGCGAGCGTTAGCTCTCTTTAAGGAAAAGCGATGCTGCCTGCCATTGGTCTCAGTAGGAACCAACTTATCATTGTTGTTAGGTGCCATTAAGTCAAACACGACTCATTGAAATCCTATGGACAATAGATCTGGATCTGAGCCCTGCCCTTTCCTGTGTCATCCTGATCATCTCTGACACACTTGAGCCCATTGTTGCAATTCATCTCATTGTGGGGGTTGTCTTCTTCCCCTTTACCACTGGCCCTCCATGTTTCCAAGCATAGTAATCCTTTTCCATGGAATAGCCTTGCCTAGATACGTGTCCAAAGAATGTTGAGATGAAACTTTTCCATCTTTGCTGCCAAAGAACTCTCTGCTTGTGTTTTCTCCAAGACATATCCGTTCTTTTGGCAATCCATGGCATATTCAGTTCTCTCACCCAGTACCATAAATCAAAGGCATTAATTCTTCTTCTGTCATCCTAATTAATTGTCCTACTTGCTGGTGCATAGCAGGTGATTGAGAAAACTATGTCCTGAATCAGATTCACTTTAGTCTTTAATATGGCACCATTGTTCTTAAGTGTTTTGGAGAGTTCTTGACATCAGACTTGCCTGGTACAATTTGGCTTCATGGGAGAAAGACAGATAGTCAAGTCCTTTGCAATTTACAGCCATTGAAAACTCACTAGAGGATAAGCTATGAACCAGTTCTGATTTGACATTAGATAATAATATGCAACATATAGTGGGTACCTAAATTCTTGCTTTTAAAAGAACTGGGTATTTTAATAATCACATTGTCATAAATATTACATATGGAAGAGATTCACAGTAATCCTTGGGAAGAGTTCAGAACTTTGTAGTTTCTAAATGCTTTGAACAATTGAAATGCTACTTAGTGACTCATACTTTCCCTTTGAAATTATTTACTAACTCTAGATATAAATGTTGTTGTTGTTGTTGTTGTTGTGAGGTGCTATTGAGTTGTAGATGACTCATAGTGACCCTAAGAACAAAAGGCCTGAGCACTGTTCATAGAGTTTCCGGAGGCAAGCCATTTTGGAAGTGGATGCCACTCCTGCTTCCAGGCTTAGATATAAATATTAGGTTAATAAAATAAAATAATTTTCTTAGTAAAGTTCTATTTCCTTATGCTCAGTTTCAAACCTGTCTTAGTTAAATGTCTTATGCACTGACATTTTCAAGAGGGAAATGTCTGCTGGTAGTTTTTTTTTGTTGTTGTTTAAAAGGATTACTTCCTTGAGAGAGATATCTCTTCCATTTAGAATACATAGTTTTTAGGACTGTGGGAGACCTAGTTTTCACAATTATTATATTGGTAGATCAAAAACCCTTCAAGTTTACAGCAACAACTTTAGAGTAGATACTAAACCCAAAATTCCTTGAACTGAATAAAGTGTCCAGTTAAGTGAATGTCACAGCATCTTAATTCATGTAAAATAGACATCATAATTAATAGGAGAGTGACATAAATTAAAATAGAAATTCTAGCCAAAATGCGCTTATTATGAGATAATAATAATTTTTAAAATCATGCCTGTCGGGTTTGTCGGGTTTGCCTCAGCAGGAATGCAGTGCAGCTGAGAGTTTCTCTGACTCCTAACAGTCTGAGAGGTCCTGATGGAAAACATTAAGCAAGCTTCTCAGCTTGGTTCTAGGAAAAATATAGATGCTAGTTACTCATCTGTACCTCAAAACCATACCATTTTAGAGCCAAATGTTATTTAAGAGATGAAAGGAGCTCTGGTGGAACAGTCCAAAGCTGCTAGCTCGGGTTAGAATCCACCAGATGATCTAGTTCTAACTCCTGAATGTAGTTCTTGGCATTGAGTAGATCCAGACTAAGGAATAACATATGTGTCCACAGCAGAATTACTCCATAGGGTTCTGCAGATTGCAAACTTCCACAAGCAGACCACAAGCTTATCTCTCAGACATAGGAATTCCTATCTCCAAAGGAGACTCAGAGTGAATTTGAACCACAATCACTTGGGGAAGCAATCAAAGAATTAACAGTTTGCCCTATTCAGATATTCTTAACTCCTTCATTTATAAGGAAAACCACAAGGGGTTTGAGAAGTATAATGACAAAGTTGAGTAACGATTATTGTGAAGCTAGAATTCTCCTGACAGATCTTCCCACTCTTGGGTTAGTATTCTTTCCATTATACATAGAAAATCACTTTAGAAATAAAATTTTGGTAAAGGACAAGTCCTGGGTTTATTAAATGTAGAACATGCCATTTACAATATCCTTCTTACCTACTGAAATTTGCATGGCGCATTAATATATTGAAGGTTATAAGCAATTTTAGAGTTGAAGCAAACAAGATGTTTATTATGCTTTATTTAAGAGAGTATTTTGTGTTCATGCTTATTGGGAAAAGAGGACAGATATAATCTGGTTGGCAGATATTATCATCTGAATTATATAATTGTGAAAAATTGATTGTACCCACTGCCTTTTGTGTGCCTGCTATTTCTTTATGATTTTAGACATCTTAGATAGCTAGGAAAGTTGTCCATATCATTCTTAGTCAGTCAGTCTATCTATCTATCTATCTATCTATCTATCTATCTATCTATCTATCTATCTATCATCTATCTATCTCATAATCTATTTACCCCTCTAGTCATCCATCCATGCACTCACCTAACTACCCACCTACCCACCCACCTACCTACCTACCTATGCAATAATCTTACAGCTATTATGTGCCAATGTCAAGTCAGAACCAAATCATAGCTGATACTCTCCCATGTTCTCAGAGGCAGTAAACCTCAGGGGAAGAGATTGCTTATCTTCTTTGCCCAGAGGCCCATGCTTTTCTTACTTATTTTCCCTATTAGGCTAAGTTTACCCCACCTAAGGGCCTTTATACTAGCTATTTTCTTTGCCTACTGTGGTCATTATTATGTGATGTCTAGTCAGAAAGGATTCATAGCTGACCCTCCAGTGCATTTCAGAGGCTGTAAATCACACAGGATTACATTGCCCATCTTTCCTCCACGGAGCATCCTTTGTATTCCAACTGTTTGCCTTTGGGTCTACTATCCTTACCCACTAAACTCCTTACCCACTAAAAGACCAGAACTCCCAGCTTCCATATATACATATGTGGTGATGTTGTTATGTACCGTCATCTGTCCCTCAAAGCAACCCTGTGCACAATGCTCTGAACTCTCCCCTCTTCTGAGCCAATTTCACTGTCTCTGACACACCAGCCCCTAATTCCCCAGTCACTGTGTTGATCCATTTCATTCAGGGTCTTCCTCTCCTATGCAGTCCCTCCACCCTTCCAAGCATAATGTCCTTCTCCAGCATGTTCTCTTCTATTAACATATCCAAAGTTTGTGAGACAGTGCTTCAAAACCTTTGTCTTCAAGGAGCAACCTGGCTTCATCCTCTCCATGACAGACCTGTTTGTTCTCTTAGGAGTCCATGGTATGTTCAACATTCTCTTCCTGCACCACATCTCAAAGACATGATTCTTCTCCTGTCATTCTCATTCCCGTCATTGTCAAGCTCTCTGATGTATAACAAGTAATTGTGAAGACCATGGCCTGGATTAGGTGCATCTTAGTCTCCAGACTGACTTTGTGGCTTTTCATACATATATGAAAGTTATGATAATATTTATCTGGTAATTGTCGGTGACCAATTTTACATTGTTGCTGTTAGATACCATTGAGTTAGACCTGACCCATAGCTGATGCTTCAGTGGGTTTTCAGAGGCAATAAACCACACAGGAGGACTTTGCCTATCATTTTCTCATGGATCAGCCACTGGATTTGAACTACATGC